GTTCAGACACAGCTCCGATGTCACCAAACACCGGAGAGTCCACACTGGGGAGAAGCCCTTTAAATGCAGCGAGTGCGGGAAGGCCTTTAACTGCGGCTCCAATCTCCTAAAACATCCGAAGACGCACACTGGGGAGAAGCCGTATGAGTGCAAGGAATGTGGGAAAACCTTTGCCTGCAGCTCATGTCTCATTCGCCATCGGAAGCGTCACCCACGGAAGAAGCACTGAGTGAGGGGAAGCTGTCTGCCACCCGAGACGCGGTGTTTGTGCTGATGGGAGCCGTTCCTCCTTCGGCATCTGATCGATGCTGGGGGTCCGTGAGCTCAGCGCACCTGTGCCCGGGCATCCCCCGCACCATCAGGAAAATCCACCCAGTGCAGTAAGCAAGTGCTTGAGCATGGTCAAGACCTTTGTGGTCCAGAGCATCTCTGGATCAAGACACCGTGATAATGCGGGAGGGGCTTGCGGCACGGGAGACTCTGGGGACATCAGCAGCTGCCTGTGGGGCTCGCGAGGCAGCAGCTGCTTGTGAGCAGCCCAGCACCTCCCTCTGTGGCCTCTGCCTGTGGTGTCCACTGTGGTTTCAGCCCTCCCACCTGCTCCTTTGAAGACGTGAGTCTGCAGACTCTTGACCTGCCGGGTCATTCCTGCGCAGCCTGGCAGGAGGCCCATGGCCCTGAGCTAGGTAGCAGTGCTCTGCGGTTGTGCCCACGGCGCTGCACCAGACACCTGCTGTCCCCACTCGGCTGGCCATGGTGACAGTGGTTTGTGCTCTGGTTTCCCTCCTCGGGCTGCGGTGCCACCACCATCCCCCACCCCATCCCCAGGAACTGCACCCTTTGTGCATCCCCCTGGCCTAGCCCCCGTCCCAGGTGAGCGGCCTGACTCACCCAGGTGGATCGCTCAGGACCTACATACTGCCACCGTGGGAGATTCCCGCCCTGGACATGTGATGGAGGCCCCAAGGATGTGAGGGCAGCTTCGAGCCAGCCTGCATCTGCCAC